ATATACCATTTTGTAGAGAATTAAATGGTGAATCTTTTGCAAAAAGCAGCTGAATTTTATTATGTATGTTTCATATAAATAACGTCAGTTTACATAGAGGGGTCGAAACTTATGAAACACCCTTTATTTCAGAAGCTGGTCATCAATTAGATACATTAAAAAATATTTATTTAACGTCAACATCGTGTCGTGGTTTTCTATCTAAAATGGGTGGTATTAAATTTAGAACATGGAATCGTCGATGGTTTGTTTTTGATCGTAAACGTCGTTCATTATTTTATTATCAAGATAAAACTGAAACAAAACTACGTGGTATTATTTATTTTCAATCAATATTAGAAGTTAATTTTGATCATCTACAATCAGTAAAAAGTCCAGAACAAAAAACAACATTTATTGTTAAAACATTGGAGAGACCCTATTATTTAATTGCACCATCTCTAGAAGTTATGAGAATATGGATTGATGTCATTTCTACTGGTTCCGAAGGTGCTAGAGAGTACGAAACATAACTGTTGTTTCTTTTTTTCTATTTGATATTTTATACTTTTTAATTGTTGGTTTTTTATTCTTCTTATTGTCATTCCGCGCTGCGCTTTTTTTTTCTTCTATTTATTGTTTGTATTTTTAGCAATACTGTACAGATACTTTGCTCACAACGCTTCCACAAAATTTTTGATTTTCCTTAGACACAAATGTGCGCATATAACGTTGCTCTTTTTACATTTATTAGATTTGAAGGACAGAAAAAAAAGTAAGCATTAAAAAAAGGATTTTACTATCCGAAACATTACTGAACGGTGAAATTTTAGCTGATTTGTTGTGGGTGAACGACTATAAAAGGATTGTATTGTATAGCATTCATCTGATCCACTCGACTCCAGTATTAGAACGAAACATAAAAAGAACAATTAATTAAAAGATTTATTGGAGATTTGGTGCTCTACTGAGAATCATATATCTTATGGGAATGAGTTGAAGACTAGATCGGCACCTACAAGTGAATGAGTCTGATCACACTGTAAAAAAGAACCACGCTTTAACCATGCTAATCGGATGGTTTAAACGTCAAAATCTGACGCTGTTTTCAATCTGACGGTTAAAACACCAGGTCAACATGACGTTTTATGATTAACCGTTCGGTTGGAAAAGACGTCAGGTTGGAACTTTTTAAACCTTTATATGATTTTGTATTGGGGAATGAAATAGCCAGTGGGCAGAATTTTCCTTTAAAAGGGCGCACTTTGCTAAAGAATAGTGGAAGAAAATGCCTTTTATTTCTCTCAGAAATTTCTGGTATGTAGACATGCATATAATGACTCAGTTTATGTACTTTGCATATATGTTACCTGAACTGAATTCATGAATTAATATTTTAAATTAAATGATTTTGAAATAAATACATTTTACATTGCAAGAAAATAAAGAATTACATTTAAAACGAACCATGTTATCTTTTTCTTCTCTCCACCTACAGATAAATTTTACGAATAATCGTGTAAAAAAAGAGGAATGGTTTGTTCTTCACGATTTAAGATATAAGTATATTTTGGTGGTATATTAAAAACATCATAGAACTTCTGATTGATGGTTTTTTTTCTTTTTGGTTCTAAAGGTAGCAGGATAAATGCAAACAAATAATTGTAAGCTAAATGTGAGAATAGTGCCAAGCAAGAAAAAAAATGCAATAAACACGTAATCTTTGAAAAACAATTGTATATAAGTTAATAAAAATATGTGTGGAAAAAATGGTTCGCGTGTGTTTTTCCTTATTTTATTGCATCATATCTGTCAATACTATTTCACAAAATATATATAAGGGTATACTTACGAATATTCGTATACTAAAAAGATAGAATAATTTTCTTTTTATAAACTACTACCCTACCTTGCCATTTTGAAAGTTAGTCATTTTATAGTATTTACGATTAGATTTGGTAGGTGAGTACTCACCGCAAGTTTCATTTTCGCCTGTATTGCAGCTATATTTTTGAGCTATATTACAGTTTATTAGTTATCATACAATAATTACATATAAGTTTTTCATGCGACTACTTTTACTTCCATTGCAAACATTGATAAGTACAACAATTCACACTAAATTTGACAATTTCACATGGAATAATTAAAATTTGCCAGAAAAGAAATAAGACTATACAAAAAAAAATAGTTAAAAATTTAAATTTTGTTGGATGACTTAACTCATTCACACAGATTCTCATCAAACACGACAACACTGTCCAATGACGATGGACAAGAAGAGGCCGACGACAACTTGTCCAGTATACCGCATAGTTGAGTCATCAAGTCACTATGAGACATGATTTTGTCATTTTCCAATTCACGTAATTGTTCGAATAATGAAGACATCGTTGACGCAATTGTTGTTATGACGGGTTTGTGCGAATTGATGTAGTCGCCTTCGTCGATTGCTTCAATGCTCGTCTTCAATTGCCTGAAACCGCATTCAGTCCGACGTAGCGATAAATGTAAGGAACTCCAATGCGGAAGTATGTGACACATCGTGTTCCTATTCTTCTTTACTTGCTGTAGACAAATGAGACATTCAATCATTTGCTTGTTGGTAATTGCACTGTTCATGGCATCATACCCGAAAAAATGACGCAAAATATTAAGCATTTGCTGAACTCTGGCCATGAGAAATTCGTCGAGTTGTGTACTGTTGTTTGGTGATGAAGAAGAGAAGAGATTGAGAGAACCATTATCCTTGTCCTTGAACGACAATTGTTCCAGTTTGGATAAACACTCGTGAAAAGTGTTTGCCGATACACCGTTGGCTCGTGACGAATATGAACTGAGACTAACGAGTTGTAGCAGATATTCTAGCATATCTGCAAGTGCTTGATTCAATTCTAATGAACTGACTCGAGCTTGTAAATCCTCATTGTACTTCTTTAAATCGGCATGGTCCTTCTTTAAATCGGCATTGTCCTGCTTTAAGTTACTATTGTCCTTCTCGATGTTTTCTAATCGGGTTGTCAATTGACTGAGATGTTCGATCAGCTGATGATCAGTTATCGACTAAAAATAGAAAGTATACAATGGAGACTGATAGAGCAAAACAGGACAAGTCTTGATCTCTCGTGATTTATATCAAAGAAAAATAGACGTTACTTCATGTGCTTGAAGAACACGTATGCTGTTGGTTTTTGCGCACAGAATCGGACTTTGGGTTTTCACCGGTGAATGTTGTTCCAGCTGTCGGGCAGCATCTACAGGATGCTGTAAATGAGAATTGAGCCGTGGTCGTAATCGATAAAAATGTGCAAAAGATTGAAAAAAGAGAGAAAAGCCAATTGTTATTGACACGCTTTGATATAGATAGTGAATGAACCATCAAGAGTACACGGATTACTTGCTGTTTCGCGAACCGAGAGAGCACAGATGTGTGGTGGTGTGTATTCCATACTACATCGCTTATATTAAACACATTATAAACAGAGGTCGAGCATTTGCGAAACCTCTTATACTTTCAGATACAGCTGGCTTTGTGTGTTTTTTTTTTTTTTATTACTGATTGCTTACTCTTCTCGTCGTCTTATCTAATTTTTTCTCCGTTTATACTGCAATTATTTTAAAGAGATTTGTATCGTTTACTACAACATGCCGTCCGCCCCTAAGCGTCCGAAACCGAATTCTCCACGATCTCAAGACAATCAGCGAGTTATTTGTTCGTGTCAAAACACGGTTAACGACGATGCGAATGCGTTATGCTGTGA